AGACATTAGTTTGGCCCTAGGGATCTCACAGATTAGGTGCTAAGGGGACTGATGCACAGGAAAAGAAAGCCATACTGCACACACTGTTGAAGGCAGATTAGGGCTCCTTCCTAGGCTGCTCCAATGTATATAGCTTCTGCTCAGAATTGCCATGGTCTCCGCTGCACTCCCCCAAATGCATGATGTTTGCTGCAGCACACAGTCAAAACCAAACATGATCAGGCTCTAACTAACAAGAAATCCTTCAGTACAATTCCATTTTCTGTTGTCTCTCACCCATTAAACAACTGTACCTTGGGATTATTATTTAGTATGTATTATCTGGCCATTTCAATGGTTTGTTTTGTACTTTATTTTTATGCAAATATCAATCATTTATACCAAACTACCAGAATAACATAAGGCTGTGTCCATGTAGTTCTAGGTTTGATACAATTAGTCTGCTCATGTTTTCCACCTATGTTTAAATAGTGCAGGTTGAATGGATGTTTTAATTCATGTTACGATACCTTTATTTAGTCAAGAACACACATATAAACAGATTTCACCAAATCTGCAATTTTCATTCCAATACTAGTCATGTAGTATATATACCATCAGCTTATATTTTCTTTCAAAATTTATATAAGCCTATGCATTAAGGCACATAGAATATTTTCACAATGTTATCTAAATATAAGGTTATACAAACCAAGAGCCCAATTATAAAAATAACGCCATTGTTCCAAGTCCACTTCAGTATCACTTTCTGTAAGAAGTGTTTTCCCCAGTACTTTCCCCAGAAGTAATGCGCTAATGATGCTATAATGATAATAACTTACATGGTACTTCCTGTGAGCCTGTCCAGTCAGTATGTGACGCATTTTACATACAGTAACAGGTTTGCTCTTCACAATAACTCTATGCAGTAAGACATCATTATCTCCAGCATGAAGAAACAGGCTTACAGAAGTAAGGTGGCCAACTGAGGCTTGAGCCCAAGCCTTGGTCTCTAGAGTTCCTGTTCTTAGCTATGCAGCTTGTATGGCTCACTGTAGTGTCCGTGACATTATAAGTTTTATTATAAATATTCTCTCTCTTCTGCTAAAACATAGGGTAATGTGCAATTTTGAGGTTCAGCTGTTCTATTTGCTTAGTTTAATCTTGCCGGTGTCAACAAAATGTCTGTGTATACTTGTATTACTACCTTGTTCTTCTCTTCTTTTCATAGTTATTTTTTCTGCCCTGTTGTTAGTGTTCTGCTTTAGGCTTGAAAGGATTTTGCACACTTTGAAAATTTTTGCTATATTTTGTGTATATGCTGGTGAGTTTTTTTATTAAAACAAAACATTAGAAATGATGCAGAATTTCAGTAAACAAAATAATATAAATCTGATAGTATTTGTTGGATTTCACAGTGTTGCCTTCAAATTAGTTCGCTCATATTACCAGATATATTCAGAAAAATTAAAAGAAGAAAGAAAAAAGAAAAAAATATAGGAAATTAAGAAGAGAGAAAAAGAAAAAAAATTGAGAAAAAAAGATAAAAAATTGAGTGTTAACTGCTCCTTTCCACAGACCAGTAGAAAGCCACAATACAATTATCCAAACCATTGTGCTGACATACATAGATACACCTCTTTCCCCCACTCCTTCGCCTGTCCTTCTCAACTCAGTATTCCTTCCTTTTGAACAAGTTCATTCTCTCTTCCCAGTATCTGCTGTAACCTTCAGATTTTATTATCTCTTTCAGGTTCTTACACTAAGGAGATAATATAGCATTGGCACGTGTGGGTCTGACTCTTCCAAAGAGTTAATAAGGCTCCCTCGAAAGGACTCCATTGGTGCTTTATTGAAGAAAGTAGAATATAAATGTGTCGATGATAAAAAGGCCTCCATATGCCAAGTGCTTACTTTGTGGCAGTCATTTGCTATTTTCAGTCTCATTTACTTATAGCACTGTGATGAGGATGTTTAAATACCCATTTTATGGAAGAGGCTCTGAAAGATCAAGGGTCTTAATTAAGGCCACGCAGGTACCAACTAAACCCATTTCTCACTTTAGTCTATCTGTCTTCTAAGCCTGTGAGTGCAAGGTTTTAATGCCTAATAATATTATGAGGGTATCCTTGTTGAGTGACTCGATATGTGGAACAAGCTTAGTTGTCTTCCTGTAATGTAGCTAGTCGAAACCTCCACCATCCTGCCACAGAGGTCACAAGTTATTCTTTGCCATACATCATTTCTATTAAGCTGTCACTGCAGTCATGTGCTAAACTACACAGTAACTAGTAAGGAGACTTCCTAGTGCAATAAGCCATTGGGTCTTAGCTGAAGGGTATTTGGCCCCGTAAAGGACGTATGGCAATGTCCAGAGACATTTTGTTAGAACTGCAGTGAGTAGAAGTCAGGGAAACTGTTAATCACCCCTATAGCATGGGCCCCATAATAAACAGTTATCTAGAATGTCACTAGCACAGAGGCTGGAGAAACCTGAGCCAAGTTGAAATTAGAATGCGATGTCCAACACAGACGTGGCAGTGCTGCCGAGTAGAAGTGACGGGGAAATAGGGAAAGTGCTTGGGTTGGTGATGGTAATACGACTTAAATGGGAGAGTCTGATAAGCTGAACTCTCTACATGAGTTACAACAGAAAATAGAACTGAATAAAAAGATCAGAATACCAATAACAACAGAAAAATTAAAAAAAAAAACCCACAACGCACAAATAAAAGTGAAATCCCAAAATCCTCATGATCGCCAATTCCTGGGAACCTGAGTTTACTCTGGAATAACTCAGTTTTCTCTGATGATGATGATGCTCCCCTCACTTTTCTTCTAGAAATGGAACCGAGGGGCTGGCAAGATACCTCAGTGGACTAAAGTGCCTGCTCAGGCAAGCTTAGGCAAAGCTCAGGGACCACGGTTTGATCCCTGGCACCGCACGCCTTGCCAGCCCCACCGCCAGGGGGTGCTGAGCCAGCCAGAGTCCGGGCTGGTGAAGCAGGTCTATAATCCCAAGGCTGGAGAGGCTGAAATCACCATGAGTCTGAGCTGTGTAGTGAGACCCTACAACAACCAGATACATTAATATGTAAATAAAAAATTAAAAATAAAAATGGAACCTAGGAAATGTTCAGAGACAATCGTGGCGCATAGCGAGTGCAACTAATGCGTAACTCAGGAATGCTTTTTCCTTGAAGTCAGCTACAGAGCACATCTCTTCCAGTTTATCATCACCTATTCTTCTTGGGTAGTGAATAAATTAGTGCTTATGTATGGTTCTTTAAAAAAAAAAACTATTTTATTTGGTACAGGGTCTTGATATGCAGCTCGGACTCATAGTGATCCTCCTGTTTCAGCCTCCCCAGTGCTGGGATTACAGGCATGCACCACCACTGTGCTGGTTTTGGTGGCCAGCACAGAGCACCTGGGGTTCTAGGGCTTGCACTGTGGTACCGAGGATTGAATCTGGGTTCTTGCACTTGCCAGGCAGGAGCTTAGACCAGCGAGCTATCTCCTCAGCCCTGCGTATGGTTCTTGGAATTGAAATTCTTACTTTGGATTGTATATGAAGTTCTATAGTGAACCAAATTACTAACTGCATCCTTGATCTTCAAGAAGTAGGGTTTTGCTAATAGATACACAAATTTTAGGGCAAGAAAGTGATTAGCAAATGTTATGATAGTTAGTGCTCAATGACAATAATGATCAAGAGTTCTGACATACATACGTTTTATGCCTACTCTGTGTGAACTTCTCAGCATAAATAAAAGGTCATGAGTATGTAAAAACAACCCAAGCAACTTACAGTATATGGTTGGTGTAACAATCTCACTTTCCATTTCACTGACAGGGTTCTTCACAAGGCAACTGTAATTCCCAACGTCTTCCTTGGTCACTGGAGCAATATGAAGGGTGTTGTTTTGGGGAGAAAAAGAATAGGTGACACTGGTACGAACAGGCTTCCCATTTTTTAGCCACTGGTAAACTAGCCGGGTGCCGCCTTCCACCTGGCACGTCAGGGTCATGTTTCCCACGTACTCCACAGCCCCAGTGGAAGGATGATTCCGCACCACTGGCTTTTTGACAGGATCTGCAATATGAAGTGACAGAAATAACTTTTTTTTGTATTTACAGAATTACAATAAAACTCCATGAAGTCTTTCAAATATTAAACCTTGGGTAAATAGTGCTAATATATGCTTTGAAAATATAGACTGCTCAGGCAATAACTGTGGAATAAATATGTAAAATGCAAAATAATACAATATATAATATTCATAGTCAGAATTAACAAATTCTAAAACTTTCTCTTCGTAGATTGTTTAATGAAACCCTTCACTTTGTAGATGCTGTGGTTAGTGGTTGAGATCCCTATTTTTTTATTTACCATTTATTGTGCTTTTTCCAAAATCATAAAGATGTATATTCATAGGCAAACTTTATGCAATTATTTACTGTTTTTGGCTTGTCCTAATGTACTCAGAGAAGCTGAATGGAGTGAGTGTGAGAACCCAAATTTCCATCTTCAAAATATTCAGCTCATATATTGTATAATATTGGAGAGCTGAAGGGAAGTTTTAGAGACTCACATAGACAATTTTATGTAAGATAACTGATTACATGTTTTATTTTGCATTTGTGTTGCAAGATTAGGTTAGTTATTTTAACAAACTAAAATCTACATTTAAACCCTGACTCAATAGGATAATTAGACAAAGTACATTCTTGGGATTATATCAATTAGAAGTAACAGAAATTCTTGTTGAAAAGTCAAGTCAAAGAAAACCAGTTTTATACTATAATTCTATGATACACAGTAGAAACTTAATACTGTATTTTTCAAGTAAATAAATTTCCTAGGACAAGTAAGTATTTTTTTTCTGTAAATTTTAACTCTGAAATTTATAAATAAGGGTGGAAATTACATATGCACTGATAACCATTTCACCAACATTCATCAATCTTTGAGTTTCCTTGCTCTTTATTTGATTAAAAATAGTGATAATTCTAGGGTTACACAGGACTCAGTGCCGAATGGGTCAGCACTCAGTAGTGTTGAGCGTGGCAATGTTTCTGTCTTGCAGTTTGGGTAGAGATGCATTTAATAACTTCCTTCATAGAGTAAGATGATGCTGAGGGGATAATAATAATTGGATCCATACTTTAAAATCTCCTATCAAACTTTTGGTTGAGGTAGATGCATTTTCCTCAGGCATATTTAACTTGAATCATGCTAACATTTTCCCGTAATGGAAAAATGTGAACCAAGATATGACACTAATAGACTAAAGTTTCCAGCTCAAAGGAAAAAGAAATAGATGAGAGACAAGAAGAAACAAGCTTGAAAGCAGTTTGTAGGCAGCTGAGTAGCTGGGAAACTTCCAGCATTTTTCAGGGTGGGTATAATTAACCTGTTTTGTTCAATCCTTTCTCTTTCCTGGGAACAGCAAAGGATTCAGAATATCATTTGTTTACATTATGAATATTTAAAAGGCAAAATGAATGGTGTGCATTTATTATTTATAAAACATCTATATTTCAAGTGCATCTCTGTGTGGAGACATATGCAGTATAGGATATATAAGCAACATGTTCATGGTCTTGAACGAGGAGAAGCAGTCATTAGAATAGTTATTGGCTTATGATCATACATTTGCCTAGGATAGCATAACTCAGATGTGGAAGTTTCCTGTGCTAAGCTTCTTCTGAGAAGAACTTTTTCTCAGGCCCTAAAAGCATCTAAAGACTTTACTAAATTTTTGGTTTCACTTTGTAAAAAAAGATCCAACTTCACTACACAATGATACATCAGGGATGTTCCACTAAAAGTACTGAAGGAGACAGAATACCTCACAGGAAACCCTCCTGTTTCCACATCCTGGGGCCCAGCTTGCCTGCAGGAGACTCTGTCTCCTCCACTGCCACTATGAATCCACAGAAGGCTACTGAGCATACTAATGAGCACCCAGGTGTTAGGCACTGAGGGCAAAGCAGCAAACATCGCAAAGTCCCTTCTCCCTTGGACCTCGTACTCTATGTAGGAAGGAGAAGCAATAGGTAAATGAAAATATGCAATCTGCCCACAAGGGAATAAGTACTACAAAAAGAGAAAAGCAGAATTGAAGATAGTGACTTTGTGATCTTATGGTGTGTGTGTTTGAGGAAGTGAGGGTGTAGCTTGTACAGTGTAGTTTGGAAAGGCTTTAGAGATAAGTAATAGTCAAGCTGAAACTTTAAAAGAAGTAAGAGATACCGATTTGATTTGAAACTGTCTCATTGCTATTTGTTTATCAATAAAATTATGGCAAAAATATATACAAAATAACAACAACAAAAAATAAATGTACTTTTTTTAAAAAAAATAAAAGAAGTAAGAGAAATATCAGGAAGAAAATCCATTGAAGTAATTAAATACCAAGTACAAAAGTCCCGAGATGCGAATGTGTCAGGTTCAGGGAAGAGCAAGACTAGCCTGGCTAAAAGACAGTGGTGGAAGGGAGTAGAGGTAAGAAGGGATGCAGTAGGTGCTGGGTATCCAAATAGTCCCGGGAGTTTAAGGTACAGGAGCAGAAGTAGAGAGAACAGACAGTAGGCTGTTTTATAGTCCAGACAATAGCTGGTGGTGTTGAGTGGGACAGTAAAGGAGCTGGCGAGAAATGGTTGGATTCTGTCTACATTTTGAAGGGAAAGCCAACAGGTTGTCTAGTGATTTGCATGTGGGATGTAAGAAAAGGACTCAATGGTGAGTATAAGATTTTGGCATGAGCAACTGATAAAATGGAATTAATATTTACTACAATGAGAAATACTGTCAAATAAATAGGTCTAGAGAAAAAAATCAGAAGTTGGACTTTGGGCATAGCAATATTTAAGGTATAAAATACACATCTTGCTAAGAAGAATAAACATCTGAAATTTAGCTGACTTCATTCTTTAGAAGATATTTCCAGAAACTTTTTACAGCTGTTATACATGACCTTTGAGATAATTCTCTCCCAAATGGTTCTGGATGCTGTAAATATCTCTAATTATGTGCATGTCTAATTTAATCCTCAGAAAGCCTTATGAAATAGACAATAATATTACTAGTGTAATGAGATGTTGAGGCATTAAGGATTAATCAATTCATCCAAAGTTGCATAGCCAGAACCCAACTGGAATGTCCTGAGCCTTTGCCGACTCCACACTAGCTTGCTATACATAGTCAGAGTGGACTCACCATCAACAGTGACTTGTATCTTCTGACTCGAGGATAGAGTTCCATTTCCTTGAATGTTCACCTTCACGATGTAATTACCTTCGTCATCAAACTGCAGCGGGTTAATGAGCAGAGATGCGTTGGGTGGCCTCATGGTGAACTTATGCTGGTATTCCAAGTCTGGAACTACAGACTTATTCACAGAGCCCAATAAGTATTTGGGCATTGTGTGGGGTCGCTCAAACAGCCATATGATCTGGATGTCTGATGCCACAGTATGGAAGCCATAGTGCACAGGGAGGTAGAGGGCCTGACCTCTGATGCCATGGACAGTGTGTGATGGCACTGTAACCTTCAGTCCAGAACAAGAACCTGCTACAAAGGAAAGGAAAGCTGTGAAGATCCTGGGCCACATTTCATAATCCAAAGAGGCGACTGCAGAGTGAACTTGATCTGATGATAATCCTTTCCAGAGAAGGGAGACTTCTAAGTACTGACCATTCCCGTACTAGTTACAGGTAAAAGTAAATATTTGCCTCTGAAACCTGCATTTTCAAAACTCCACCCAAAGACTGTGCAGACTGCATGACTTCCCTAAATGCAGGAAGAAAAGGAAAAGCAGAAGTTGTTCACTATGGCTGTTAAAGAATAATGGGAAGAGGAAACCAGAAAAGCATGATTAGTTCTAAAGTCCAATGAAATCATTAAAACATTTACAATTATGATTATATCAATGTCTGCATCAAATTCTGTCCTAATAAAACTATGTAATCTCAGATACCAGTGGGTCACTTACTTCCCAAAACAATTTCTCAAAGCCTTCTGAAATGGCTTAATATTAAGTTGTTTTGGAAGTCTTCCCCATTAACCAAAGCCTTGCTAAACATAAATAACTCAAGGAAGTTGGCATTAAACTATTATCAACATGACAGTCCCTCTGGCCCAGAAGAATGGCACCTATTTGAGGAACAGCAAAGGGCAGCAATAGAGCAACAGGTTGGAGGAGGAGGGCCATAGTAAGCTATAAGATCATTTTGTAGCCAGGATGGGGTGTGCGTGAGCACACAGAACCACAAAAAAGACTGGCAATTTTACTGAGATGAAAAAGCAGCTGTAGTTTTGGCAGCAGAGGGGGATATGATTTCCCTTATGTTTATTAGATTCAGTTTAGTTGCTATGACAAAGGTTTGAACTGTGGGTAAGAATAGGAACAGAGAGACCACTGAGGAGACAAGTACAGTGAAACAGACTAGATGATGTTGCGGTGGGTGAGCCACGGTTGTAAGACTGGTTGTGTTAAAAAGCTTTGCTGATACAATGGAGGTGGGATATAAGACACAATGAAGAGTCAAGAATGACTTCTGTGTTCTTGACTTAGAGGAACTAGAAGGATGCAGTTGTAACTAATAAATTCACCATGGGTGCGGGAACTGGTTTTTATGGAGAAGATCAGGAGCCGGGGTTGGGCACGCTCATCTGGAGACTCCCATTAGAAATCCACATAGAAGTGTTGAGTGTACAAACTGGAGAGGAATATCTGATTAAAGTGTTTGGGAATGAGTTAGAGGCCGGGACAGCCTTAGGTCATGCAGCACTGCTTGCTACACAGCCCTGTGCAGTGGCAGATTGTTTAGGTCCAAGCATTCCTAGCTGTGTCTCATATCTGCAGGTTTCTTTATAGTTTCTGGTACCTTGGAAAACAGTACTCTTATATTAAATGACGATATGTTGTGTAATGTTATATAGCATTTCTGTGTATTTGCAGTGAAAAGAGTCCTCCCCAGCCCAGACTATCATGTTTCTGGAACTCTAAGTGCTTTGCTTCCAAATTTTCATTTTAAAAGGGGGAAAACATGGTCTCTCTATCATAGGAACATCTGAAATTGTTGGGAAGAGAATGGGAGAAATTTAAACATGGGGTATTTTGAACTGTGAGGGTGAAAAAAGAGAATGGAATGGACAGTGGAGACAGTGGAATAGACACACTGGGGGAGTTTTGCTGCAGAAGAGAGAAGAAATGTGGGGTGGGAGCTGGGTGGCTTTCTAAAATGTGAAGCTCAAGTTTTAGCTATTAGGAAAGAGCCACTAGAAAGGGAAATGGTGAAGGAGTAGAGGTGGGTGAAGGTAGAAGAAAATCCTGGAGAAGACGAAGCCAGAAACTAGGCACAAATGGAGAAATTGTACAATTTCAGTTTCATCATAGACAAAGTACTTCTTCTCTTGATTGCTCCCCCTTTTCATTGATCTCAAGAAGGGAGACTCTTTGAGCTCCATCAGGTCATGATGTGGAAGACCATCGATACAAAGAAGGGAAAAATAGAAAAGTCTCTTTGCCTTCTGAGAAGGTTGTTTCGACGAAACTCAAACTTGTAGGGCTTCTCCTAGAAAGAATCAAATTCGACCAACTGTAAATTTCTAATTTTCTTTTTCTAGGCAGAGATGAGAACAAAGATTTCCATGGTTTTGGCCTGTGGTAGGCTGTAAGTAGAGAGTGAGCATCTGAGGTTGCCAGGGAAGTTAGAGCTAAGAATTCTGAAGAAGAAACAAGGTAGAAGAGAAGTTAGGAAGAAAATAGGCTCCTAGACACTCCCCTGAAAGCAACTTGAAGGATGGAAATGTATGGCTACAGGGAAACAGACTTTGTCTTACAGCCTGTTTTGTTTGTGTGTGTACTTGTGGTTAACATATTTTTTTCTGGTAATGGACTGTACTTGTACTTTCACTTTAGTCTTCTGTTCATATCACAGGCGTTGCAGAGGTATGAGGGTTTGGTTCTGCATTCTGTTCTGGTAAGTTCAGGAAAGTTAAATTTGGACTTTCTCCCCTTCATATGAGTGATTGCAAAAAGAGGGAACCATGTGCTGGGAAATCTGTGAAGAAGACAAAGTGAATTTCAGAGAAGGAACAGTGGTTTTCACAAGGAAATGGTAAGAAAGGAAGATGGTAGAGTAAATCAGTGTCTTAGAACTAGTGATGTCGATTGGGTGTGATGACACTTGTCTGTAAATCTCAGCCCTCTGGGAGGCTAAAGAAGAAGGATCTCAAGCTTGAGCTCAGCCTATTGGCAAGACCCTGTCTCTAAAAGCAGGGTGGGGCTGGGGATTTAGGTCTGCTGGAAGGCCCTTTGTTCCATTCCCTGTACTACAAAACAAACAGCCAGTGATGTCTAAAGTGAAGCAGAGGCTGGCTGGTGGTGGGGTGAAGCTCTCAATCCATCTTAGATGGATGGAGCAGAATAGGAAAGAATTTCTCCTAGTGTATGTATCTGTGTGTAAGTGTACATGTCTTCTGCACAAAACACAACCATTCACTTGCTTTTCACTTCAACTGGAGATAGGCAACTCCTGAAAAGTTCCTGGAAAGCAGTAAATAAAAACTGGTTTTTAAATATTCATCATTACTAATGTAAGATATGTTAAATAGAAATTTTTCTACATTGTGTGTTGTTGTATTCTTTTTTATTCGAGTGTAAATTATTTATGAGAATCTCATGGCTCAGTTCTAATCTTGGATTCTTCCTCCTCTATCCACTAGTTAATATTCAACTTGCCATGTATAAATTGTCTTGAATAAGGTTGTTTAGGAACCTATTCTCTACAATTGCAGCAAGATTACTCAATTGCTTATTTTGATAGTTAAAAATCTACTATAATGGGAAGTCTCAGTAAAAGTCACACATTCAAGAAAAAATACTAATCAGTCAGTTATGAGACCTTAGATTTTTTTTTTTTTTTGTACTGAGAATCGAACTCAGGACCTTGTGCTTGCTAGACAGGCACTTAAGCCACTGAGCTATTTCCCTATACCTTAGATGTTATTTTTAAGTCTCAAACTGTTTTCTCATTTGTGAAAAGAGGTTAATAGTAGATGCAGCCAAGACCTTTGTCGAATCTCTCCATGTTTATGTCATCACACCATAAGGTGATTTTCTCAGGGTAACAGCTACCTACATTTGAAGGTGAAGGGATGAGAGAACTTAGAAGTATTGAGTCTCAGTTTCTAGCCCACTTAAGTTGTTAGTCTTGGATATTATTAATAAAGTGCTTGGAATTCACATTTGTCCTCTGAGAACACCCTGGAAAAATCTGCACGGCTGCTGACATAAAATGAGGCAGTTGCTTCCGGCAGGGAGCAGTTTTCCCATTGACTTCTCTGTCCTTTTGAAGCACTTCACAGCTTAACCTAGAAACTACTGCTAGACTGAGCTGTCCATGTGTGTGGACTTTTTGCAGTTTTGGCTGATCTGTTCTTGTCATGTGGAGAAGTCATTACAGGAAGGTTTTTGTTTTGTTTTTTGAGGGGGCTGTGCATTGTTTTGTTTTTTAAGAGAAGAAACCCTTTTAATCTACCTCCTTTGTAATCGCAGTTGGAAATGATTACCTGGGATTTACGTAATGCTCTGGAGATGTCTGGGAGGCACTGCACTGCTGCAGATGGACCCTGGAATGGAGATGTTGCTGACTTCTGGGTCTCGATTCAGAATGTTAGATTTTAAATATGAAGACTAGCTAGGAAGCCCACAAGGGAAGTTATGAGGACAAAATTTTATTTATTAAAATATTGAATATGATACAAATATTGTAGACCAGAAGAAAACGAGATTACTTCAGTAGAAAATGACACTTTTTATGACATTTCTGATCATTGTTTAAGGTGATGGTAGAGACCTAGGTCTTTGGGCTATTTTAGGGACTGTATCATGTAATAATACCTTAGGTAATAAATATGTTGTAAATATGTTGTTTAACATATTTATTACCTAAGGTATTATTAGGTACTGATACCTCTGAGTATATTCACTATGTCTATATCAAATGATAAATATTTTTTGAATGTGCCCATGACAATGACAGCACAACTCTTACAATGCCTACACTATTTTTATGAAATAAATGATAGGTAACCAGTTGTAAAAACACAGCAAGCAATCAGTTTTTCTTTAAACAGTATCTGATTTCAGTTACCTAAAATCTATGCATATTTTCTGGAAAGATGTGAACTTAACGGTATACTATCATCCTCATGGTAAAATTTAGAGTATAAACAGATAATTTATGCTTTTTGTACATTTTCATAATATATGCTACTGTTGTCACTGACACATTTCCTATTATAGATGTGATAAATTCATGCTGGCAAACATATTAGTTTACTAATTTTAAATAAATTGGCATTTTGTGAAATTTTCAAGTGTTCTTTTCTAGTTTTGTGAGAAAACCCAAAGAACTAAAAGTAGCGATTTTAGAAGGCCATCCTCTATAGGAACAATTAAATTTCAGGAAATTAAGTAATATAAAAATTAATGAAGTTTTAACTCTCTCTTGGTACTCTAACTATTGGAAGTAAATATTAAACAGATTAAAGTTTTGTTAGAT